CTTTCTGCATATATATATATTTATATATATATATATATATATAGGGAGAGAGAGAGAGAGAGAGAGAGAGAGAGAGAGTGTTAGATATAATTATAAAACTGATCCGAGCTAAATAATTTCGTCAAGTTTTATTTGAAACAACGCGAAGATAAATAGAAGGCGAGGAGAAGATTAAGGGTATTGAAATTCTATCGGAGGGGGATATATGCAATATATATACCTTAATCCTGGTTCATACGAACTCAAAAAGAAATTTTTTTGTGTATATGCATCGTGTCATTATTTCTGATCTCTCATTTAGAAGGATTATCTCGTCTGGAAATGTTATTATTTTTAACTTTTCTTCGGGGAAAAGATTGCATATATCACTATGATTGTTGGGTTAGGCTTTTAAAATATATTATTACAGTTTGCAATCGGATCTTTGTTATTTTTTCTTTTAATTTTGTACACATGCCTGGATAGTCTAGTAGGCAAGAGTTATTTTGAACAATAAAAACAGAAAGTTTTGGAAAGATAGGATAGCGAACAACCGGACTCCCTCCCCCGCAAAAAAAAAATGGCACATCGAAGAACTGGGAGGTGGGGTTTTGGCAAAACAGTCAACAGCACAGAAGATTCCATCATCTACTCTAGATAATCATTACACACTGGGTATTCCATAGTGTTGTGGTGTGATGGATATCAGTTCATAGTGAGAAATCGGAGATCCGTTTTCGAATTAAAGTCGGCTTTGTTACATATCATCTTCCCCAGCTATGGGTTGAATAGTAGGACAGATTGGATATTGCCTTGTTGGCAACCGTACTGCCACAAGAAGAACGGCAACCTGCTGCGTTAAAATTATTCTGCCTACCTCCGAATTCTGAATACCCCAGAATCAGACCGAAAACAGGACAGAGACCGTGCGAGTTTATCAAAGACACTGGAACAAGGAACGCGATATTTATGGTCAGTATGTTATCAGAAAGATCAGTACAAATTCAGAAGAAGGTGTACCTGTGTTCTATAGATTACGCAAAGACGTTCGCTAAAGAACGTCACAAAGATTTGTTGGAACTGCTTAGCAACCTTGACATATTTGAGAAGGATATTGGAATAAACTGAGAACTAATACTGGCAGCAAAACCCCTGAAAACGAATAAGAAATGAATTCTGCAATTTAAAAAAAAATACATATGTGTTTAAGACAAGGATGTGTCTTCTCACCGGACTTATTCAACCTATACAGCGAGACAGTTCTGAAGGAAATAGAAATTCTAGTAGGATTTACTATTGGCGACCACAAGAGCATAACATAAAATATGCAGATGACTCACTGTCTATTGCAGACACTGAAAAAAAAAACCCTACAAAATCTCCTCCAGGAAAGGTAATGAGGCAAGCGAGAAGAAAGAATTAAACATTAACTGCAAGAAGACAATGTATGGTTGCTAGCAAGAAGATGAGCACAAAGTGCGAATTCAGAATCGGATATACCAAAATCAAACAAGTACACCGATTTAAATATCTAGGAAGTGTTTTAGCAGAGAACGGGAAGGGTGGCACTGAAATCCGGAGACATATTCGGATAACCAAAGATGTCTTCCAAAAACTAAGCAGAATTAGGAAAAGAGTACTAAACTCTGACGTGATATCTGTCCTTCTGTATGGCATTGAGCGCTGGACAATATTCTCAAAGATGAAGAAGAGACATAAAGCAACAGAAATGTGTTCCAACCGAAGGATGCTGAGGATATCATGAACCAATTATGCGAGCAAAGACGAAATTTTAAGAGAAAATGGAAACAACAAGCAAACTTAACACCAGGGAAAAGATAGTTGAAATTTCTATCGCACATAATGAGGAAAGAGGGTTTGGAGAATATTCAGTGGACATTAAAGGCAAAGGAAAACGACGCATACCTTACTTCAGTGAACTTGAGTAAATGAATGACGGAACAGGGGTTTAGGATAAATAGCACAAATAAAACATTTATTACGAGCTAAAAAGGTCAAGAAGTTGTGGCGAGCCATGTCCTGTGGGGATATAATTTATAACGAAAAAAAAAAGACAGTTATGTAGCAAAACAGGCATGATTGCCCAAACGTGTATCACGTATGGCACTTAATTAATTGACTCTTTAATGATGGCCTTGTGCCAAAGTAAGCTAGGCATAGTTTATAATGGAAATTTCAAACTGAATTCGAATTGCGGCTAAGTGAAGTTATTCTCACCTCGTCCGGTGCCCTTGGGTGGGGTGGGGGGATCGATGCACATCTTTCAATTAGACAAGGGAATACTCATTGCTATTGTTACATGGAACCGAATACAATTTGTCGAATGCCTGTAGGAGAGGAAATCGTCTTCGCCAAGTAATCTCCATTGTTCTAAGAACCACGGATATTACACTGACGGTCGACGAGGAAATGGGATCTTTTTTTTTAAATGCCATATCCCTTCAGGATGTAGACGACCATGGTTCACCACAGGTTCGGTTTCTATTTAATGTGAATTACCATATCACGTCACGTTACGAGTTCTACTGGTATTATTTAAAAAGAGCACTGCCTGATGCATGGTTGCATTATCAGAAAAGACGATGATAAAGTAGGAGAGTAGGGATTTCAGGTAGCTTTGTACAATGTTTCCAATTCCGAGTTTTCATCACTTAGACTGGTTGCTATCAAGGCTAGAGAGCCCACTCCGCCTTGCTATTTAACGCACTGGTAATAGGTAGAAAAGAACGGTTTCAGGCCTTTCGAAATCGAATTAGTGTAAAAGTGAACACTAAAGATTAACCCAGAATTTGAACTCGGGACCACCAGTTTACGCTTACTATCCTA